TGGACAACACCCTGAGGAGCTGGGCAGTCTCCCTCAAGTGACTCAACTGTATATTTCTATTGATGCACCGAATAGTGAGAAGCTGAAGAAGGTGACGGGGAGCATTCAACCGAGACGGCTGCCTTAGTTTTGGTAGTCCCTCAGAAAGTGAAATCGATCGTCGAAGAAAATACTGAGTTTGTTGATTTCAATCATTGGGTTTCGACATGGAGTTGAAATAATTGCGATTTTATGTGGAGGATGGAATTGGTTTTTTGGCCGTCAGGTGGACCGGCCTCTTTTCAAAGACTATTGGGAGAGGCTGTTGGCGTCATTGGAGGCAGCGGCTGAGAAGGGGGATAGTCAAAGGAAAGTGGCGAGATTGACGTTACTGAAGGATGTTAATGATGAGGACATATTTGGCTACGCCAAGTTGATCGATTTGATGAAGGCTGATTTCATAGAGGTGGATGCTTGCTCTCTTCTTGGGGAGTGTGATGGGCTAACCTTCTTATCAGGTGAAAGGGGCGACCTACGCTGGATGGGATCGGGATGCTACGGGATTAACGATGGCCAACTGTCCGTATTTCGATGATATCATCAATTTCGCACAGAAAATAGAATGCGAGTTGAGTCCTACCAGCCCTCTTCGGCTTTGTGTGTGTAGCTTTTGAGGTTAGGTTGGGTGGGGAGTATGCCCTGTTGGCCGTGCATGAGCACAGCTGTAGTGCCCTGTTGGTGCGGCGAGGGCTGCAGGAAGCGGTGTGGATTGACTTTGATAAATTCAATGAGTTTGTTGTTGATCATTACGATAAGGAGGAGTCGTCGTTGTTGATGCGAGTGCCGTTTAGCGAGTATTCCCGAGCCCTTCCTGATTGGGCTCAGTCGACGTCTGCAAGTCTGGGCATGGATCCTCATCACACGCGTGTAACTGAGCTCACTGTGGAGCAGTTGGAAGCTAGAGAAAACGCCAAAGCGGCGTTACAACGTTTCTGAATATATTTATATTGTGTTGATAGTAGTGGGGAAGGAGAGAAGTCGCGGGGAATGTAGTACCTCATTCGACTGAGGCGTTTGGTGGGTGGTGCAGCACGCCCATGTCGACGGCATACTCGTTGACTTGACGATATGAGCATGACTGATTTCTCATGGCGGATTGGATCTATGAAAGATTGTGGACGTCACTTGTTATTTATGGTGGAAGGTTACGGAGTTTCGGAAGGAATGGTATGCACAAGTGGAGATAGGCTGACGACTTCCACTATCGCTCGCCGTCACACAAGTGGGACAACCGGGCAGTTTCGTTTGTCATGCTCATTCCTGTGCCTGCGTTGGGCTCATCAACAATCCGTATGAGTCATCGAGGTAGATTCTTCCTCTGTAAGCAAATACGCGATATGCCACAGAAGTGTAACTTCGTGTAATGCACTGCGTCATCTTCCTCATCACTTTGGCCTCCTTAGTCATCCGTCAAGCCGTCGGCGGGTCTGCCCTCATAATCGCCGAGAAGCTTCATGCCGCCGATGGTGGTTATTGTCAAAGTCTTTGTGATGCATCCCCCGACTGCATCTTCAGCTACTGTGGTGACGACAACATATGCCATGACGTGGGCTCTGCTGCTTCGAGCGGAGCTGTCCCATGCCGTGCTGCGGTAACGTCGTTTGACAGCTGCTCCTCTGCATGCGAGTCAGTCGCCGATTGTTCAGCAAGTCAGTGGAAATCTTTCTGCAAGACCTGGCTCGATACTCCTGTTTGTTTCGGCCTCCTCCAAAGTGCCAACGGATTGTGCTATGAGGTCTCGGCTGGATGTACTGGCACTGCCTATCCCTGTCCCTGAAGAGTACTACT